CACACACACATACACACACACACACACACACACATAAACACACACACGCACACGCACACACACACACACACACACACACACAAAAGCGCACGCACACAAGCACATAAACGCACACGTCATGCATTTTCGACCACACCCTCTTCCCCACCTCCAACCCTTTTTTAATCCCGTTCCCATACCTCGTTCATATCTAATCCCAGCGGGTGGTTGGCGGGTGCTCTGGTGTTGTCTGCTTCTTCTTTCCTATCAAACATCTATCCTCCTTATCTCCCCTCCTCCTTTTTTGTGTTTGTTACTCTCTTGTAACACCTCTAAACGTCGGCACTTATATGACCTTATTGTGTAGATGCAAATGACATAAAACACCTATTATAACTAAACTATCTTATCCCAGCACCTCCCACGAGTCAGTGCGATGGCTCCAGTGTCAGCATCGCTTCACGGAGGCTGAGAGCGGCTTTCGAGAGGTCATCTCCGTGAACGCCGGCGCCGTACCGGACATAATGGCTCTGCTTGACCACTCGAGGGCCTGCATCGTGAACAACATGCACCAGAAGAAGTTCACCTTTATCGACCTCTTCCATTCCATCGATTCCACAAAGTGGACGATAACTTTAGTGTACACTTGGTTAGTCTTTGTTTGAGTCTCTGTCTGAGTTTGAGTTTGAGTCTGAGTCTCTAGTTTGAGTCTGAGTCTCTTGTCTGAGTCTGAGTCTGAGTCTGAGTCTGAGTCTGTGTTTGAGCCTGAGTCTGAGTCTCTAGTTTGAGTCTGAGTCTCTTGTCTGAGTCTGAGTCTGAGTCTGGGTCTAAGTCTCTAGTTTTTGTCTGAGTCTGAGTCTGAGTCTCTATCTGTGTTAGAGTCTGAGTCAGTGTTTGAGTTTGAGTCTGAGTCTCTGTCTGAGTCTAAGTCTGAGTCTCTGTCTGAGTGTGAGTCTGAGTCTCTAGTTTGGGACTGAGTCTGAGTCTGAGTCTGAGTCTGAGTCTGAGTCTAAGTCTCTGTCTGAGTCTCTAGTCTGAGTCTTAGTCTGAGTCTTAGTCTCTAGTCTAAGTCTGAGTCTGAGTCTGAGTCTGAGTCTGAGTCTGAATCCGCATGACCTAGTTACTTTCCAATTTCTTTCCTCTTTTTATCGTTTTGTTTGTTCGTTTGTTTGTTGTTTTATTTAATTTTGTTTGTTTATTTTGTGTGTGTTGTCTAATCGTGTATTTGTCAGTTTCACTTTTGGTGTATCGTTTTTGTCCTCTTCTGATTTTCTCTCTCTGTTTGTTTGCTTTGTTTATTATATAAATATATATATATATTTCAATCTATTTTTTAATGGCTCAACATCTTTTACGTCTTTTTAAAATACAATTCATTATGGATTTTACGAAAAGAAAACGTTGACCAAAGACAAAAAAATGTAAATGAGCAGATTCTATGGAAACATAAACCTTGGAAGCGATCAACGTTGACGTCCATTCTCTCGTTAAGTTTACCTCTGAGACTAGGCGACTCCCACCTCCTTCCATTGCAAGTGACTCGGCTTCTATTCAAGATAGACGGGTATCTTTTCATCCAACGCAAAATAAACGAACAAGCTTTAAGATAATTGACGAGCGCCTGACTCCACTATGTCGTAACAAATAACTACCTTGCAAAATTACGAAGTTTTATCTTGCATTTTTGGCCGCTTTCAGTCACTAAGGCCATAATGAGGTCAGAAGCCAAAATAATGTTGTAACTTCTCTATCAGAATTGTAAGATTATACGGAGTCGTTATCAAGATATTATTCAAAAATTGTATTTGAAAAGACGTAACCAAGTTGTGATACTAAAACATTTTGACTTAAAACTTCCTAAAAACTAGGTACAGCAGATAGAACTTTGTAATTCTTTTGTAGCGAAATGTTCTTTTGAGAATGCCACGTTCTTCTCTTATAATGGTCACATTTTCACATTATTTCGAAAAAGCAGTTTAACTGACCAGCAAGTAAGTTTAATTATCATTCTGTCTCGTCCCAGTCTGATCTCGTCGTGTGTCTACTTCTGCCTGCTCTGGCGGGTCCGGCACATCACAGGAAGCGTTTACATCGACGGTTTCCTCCCCTTTCTCGTCGACTTACCACTCACCTGGTCCGTTATCATCGTCAACAGATGGTAAGTACTGGCCAATGTCTGCTCTGTATAATAATATTATAGCTGGCATTGAAGGGGGCTGATTTCTTGAAAGTGGGCGGTTGGCTGATTCTCTAGCGGGGCTTCTTCCTTCTTTCTTATCAAACATCTTCTATCGTTTCAATCTCTCTTCCTTCTTCTTCTTCATTTTTTGTATGTTACTCTTCAGTAACACTCAGACATGACCTAATTCTGTTGCAAGTGCCGTAAAACTGGTACTTTTTTTTTTTAAACATCAAAATTTTTATTGAAGAAGGGGAGGGATTATTACGATAGCTCTTGTGACCAGAGAATAGAGTCGGATTGAACAAAAAGCTAGAAAAAAAAAATCGAGATGGTTGGAGCTGGGGCAGGGGGTGGGGGGAAATAAAGGAAGAGAAGGAGTAGATTAAGGTGGAGGAGGAAGGTGAGAGCGAGTTCAAGGTTGAGAGAGAAAAGATGAAAGACAAAAAAGAACGGAAACGAATGACATAAACTGTAACAAACGAGAAGAGCATTGAGAAATGAGTGGGGAAAATATTGAAATTAGGAAAAAGGCAGCATACAAGAAGGAAGCGGAAAAGAAAATGAAATGAAACAAAGAACTCTTTCAAAAGCGGGAAGGTAAATTGTTTCCGAATTCTCCAAAATAATAATGTATCATACTTCCGTAATAACTACGTCGCACACAAACAAAGAAATACACATACAGAAACACACACACACATATAAATACACAAACACACACACAAGCAAACTCACACAAACCCACACAAGTAGCCACACACGAACACACACACACACACACACACACACACACACACACACACACACACACACACACACACACGCACACAAGTCACACACGAACACACACAAGCAGCCACACACAAACACACACATACACACTCACAAACACACACACACATACACACAAGTCACACACAAACACACAGACAAATATACACGCCCGCACAAAAACATACACAGGCATACACTGCCACCAAGCACTCTATCACATATTAATCCTCATGTCTTCCTCCTCCAAGATGAGTTCTTGATCGCTAGCTCCAAGCAAACTTGCACATTTGAAACGCCCAAATCATAGAGGTAACGTATTCAGACATACTCGAGTTTACATAATTTAGACCTTTCTTATCGTGTGTTCATCAGTCTAGAGTGGCGAAACGCGAAACGTCTCTCTCTCTCTCTCTCTCTCTCTCTCTCTCTCTCTCTCTC